GTACTCTTTCTACTTATAAAAATGAAGTCTGCCGTAAAACATCATGCTGTGCTATACCACCAGCAGCCTCATACATCCTGTGTTCATTGCATCTTTTTATTGGATTTTCTGTTGTGCTTGATTTAATCTTGTGTCGTTTTGTGCAGTGACATGCTGTATAGGCTTGTAGCCTAGGAGCAATAGGCTACACCATATAGCCAGCGTGTGCTGTAGGCTATACCATCTAGGTTTGTATAAGTGCACTCTGTGATGTTCGCACAATGACAAAACTGCTTAACTGCTGTCATGAAGTGGTGCATGACTGTAGATGACATTCTAGAAAATGCAAAACTATTGGGGCTGTAAAAGATTGGTTGCCAGGAGATGGAGAAAGGAAGTGAATGGGCAGAGCACAGATTTTTCAGATAGTGAAACTGTTTTTGAACGATGCTGTGATGATACATGTCATTATGCATTTGTCCAAATTGTGGATTTGGGGTGAAAATAATCTGTCAGTGTAGGTTCATCAACTGTAGCAAATGTACCACTTCCATGGGGGAATTTTTTTTTTAATCCTCACCCTAGGACATTTTTCCATTGATTTTTAGATTAGAGTGTGGAAGGGAGATGGAGAGACAGAGAGAAACATATCAATTGGTTGCCTCCTGCATGCTCCCAGCCAGGGCCCAGGCCAGAGAGGAGCCTGCAACCGAGGTACATGCCCTTGACCGGAATCAAACCCAGGACCCTTTGGTCTGCAGGTCAACGCTCTATCCATTGAGCCAAACCGGCTAGGGGAATATTCGTGGGGGAATATTAATAATATGGAAGACTGCACCTTTGAGGCAGGGAGACTATGGGAAATCTCTGTACTTTCTGCTCAATTTTGCTGTGAACCTAAAACTGCTCTATAAAAAAAAAAGTGACAAATATAGAAGACAGGCAAAAATAAAACAACGCAGCATGTGGATAAAAGATAAAAAAGCAAGGGAACAAATACCAAGAGTTACAATGAAAGGAAATGCAAACTTAGGCTGTTACACAACTGCTGGGATTCGCTCCCGCTTACCACACCTCAGGGGCCTCTAAGCCCTGCACATGTCCCTCCCACCTTCTGTGTCTCCCCCCGCCCGCACCCCGTGCTGCCTGCCCCTTGCTGCTCTGGACCAAATGAGTAAGGGCCATCTGCACAGCGATTCCCAGATCGAAGTGGATTCCCAATTCAATGACTCATAGTAAACACAAAGATCGGGAACTCTGGCACCAAGAGCACAAGAAGGATGAGGAGGAGGACTGAGAAGTCCAAGCAAAGCAACAGTGAACATAAAGATTCTGAAGAGAAACACAAAGAGAAGGGGGGAAAGCAAGCACAAAGATGGAAGTTCTGAAAAACATCAAAATAGATAAAAATGAAAGGAGGAAAAGGTTAGAGCCTCCGGGGATACAAAAGTAAAGAAGGAAAATGGCTGCCCACCCGGTGTGGTTCAGTGTTTGAGCGTCAACCTATGAACCAGGAGGTCCCGGTTCAATTCCCAGTCAGGGCATATGCCTGGGTTGCAGGGTTGATCCCCAGTGTGAGGGGTGCAGGAGGCAGCCCATCAATGATTCTCTCTCCCTCTCCCTTCTCTCTGAAATCAATAAAAGTATATTAAGAAAAATGGCTTCTCGAGGCCACTACAAATTAAAGATGAGCCTGAAGGTGACAGCTGCTTTGCACCTAAAGAGGATCTGAAGCCATTGAGACCTCCACATGAGGAGGATGCTGATTATAAACCCAAGAAAAGTAAAACAGGATATCAAGAAAGAAGAAACAAAAACTAGAGGAAGAAGAGGATAGGGAATTGAAAAAATAAAAAGACAATAAAGTTAAAAAAGTTCCTGAGCCAGATAGCAAGAGGAAGAATCTGAAGAAGAGAAGCAGCTGAAGTGCAAATGGTGGGAAGAAGAGCACTACCCAAGGGCACCAAGTGGAAATCCCTAGAGCATAAAGGTCCTGTATTTGCTCCACCAGATGAGCCTCTTCCAGAGAGAGTCCAGTTGTACTGCGATGGTCAAGTCATGAAGCTGAGCTCCAAAAGCAGAAAAAGTCGTTACGTTCTTTGCAGAAATGCTTGACCATGAATATACTACTAAGGAAATATTTAGGAAAATTTCTTAAAAGACTGGAGAAAGGAAATGACTAATGAGAAGAATAGTATTACTAGCCTAAGCAAATGTGACTTTTTACCCAGATGAGCCAGTATTTCAAAGCCCAGTCAGAAGCTTGGCAACAGATGAGCCAGGAAGGGAAACTGAAAACCGAAGAGGAGAATGAAATTACTGAAAGAATATGGCTTCTGTATTATGGTTAAACTCAGAGGATTGCTAACTTCAAGACAGAACCGCCTGGGCTTTTCCGTAGCCGTGGCAACCATCCCAAGTTGGGCATGCTGAAGAAGCAGATCATGCCCAAGGACATAATCATCACCTGCAGCAAAGATGCCCAGATTCCTTCTCCTTCTCACACTCTTCTGAATATGCTCTGCAGCAGTGGCCTCCTTGTTCCCAAATCCAGTGGGCACAGTTTTCAGACCCGAATTTTGACCTCTCTGCTCCACCTGACCAGTTGAGCTTCCCCTTTCCGTAACAATACATTCTCACAGTTTTCTTGGCTCTTTCATTGTCGTCTCCTTTTAATGGTGCCTTTCCCCCCTACCCCCAAAATGTTATATCTGTGTCCCCATTGTCGTCTCCTTTTAGACATCCATTCCTCTGACCTTTATAGGTTGGTGTTTTCCAGCGTCCCATGGCCCCATGGCTTTTCACACTATACAGTCACCTGAGCAAGCTCCTCTGTGCTTACATTCCAACCATTGCCTGAATGCTCATGTTGCTGGTCCAGATCTTTCTTTTGAGCTCTCCCAGCCATATGTCAGCTAACTACTGGAAAACTGCACCAGGTTGCCCCACATGTTTCTCACACTTAGCATGTCTCATTTTGCTCCCCTGCTGTACTGTTAACTGCCCTTCTGATGCCACTCTCTACTCCTTACCCTCACAATCAGTTACCAAGTGTCCTCAAGTCTACTTCCTAAATATTGAATTTCTACCTCTCAGGGACACTGCCACCACCTTGCTTCAGGCCAGACTTCTGATTTCCCTTCTATTAAAATGTCTCCCTCTAATTCAGCCCCCTAACACTGCAACCAGAGTGGTTTTTCTGAAATGCTAATCTAATTGTGTTCCTTTGCTGCTTAAAATCTTTCCATGGTTCCCCATTGCTCTCAGATCTGCAGCTTTGTCATCATATGGCCTTTGTCTCCCCAGACTAAGCGACTAATCCAGCGGTTCTCAACCTGTGGGTCGCGACCCCTTTGGGGGTCAAACGACCCTTTCACAGGGATCACCTAAGACCATCGGAAAACATATATAATTACATATTGTTTTTGTGATTAATCACTATGCTTTAATTATGTTCAATTTGTAACAATGAAAATACATCCTGCATATCAGATATTTACATTACAATTCATACCAGTAGCAACATTACAGTTATGAAGTAGCAACAAAAATAATTTTATGGTTGGGGGTCACAAAATGAGGAACTGTATTTAAAGGGCCAGAAGGTTGAGAACCACTGGACTAATCTCTGACCCTCCCTGCCTCAAACTTTACAGTCCAGCATTTAGTGCTCTGCACAGACCATTCTGTTTCTTACCTCGATCTCTTTCCTCAATATGCTTTCTTTCTTTTTCTTTTTTTTAAAGTAGCTATCATCAAGATAAAGAAGGATGGGGCGGGGGGAAAGAAAAACAAAAAAATGGCTATCATAGTTTTTATTTTTAAGCTTTGCCTGACGATATTTTTTTCTATTGATTTTTAGAGAGACTGGAAGGGAGGGAGGAGGGGGAGTGTTGGAGACAGAGAGAGAGAGAGAGAGAGAGAGAGAGAGAGAAACATCAATGTGAGACACATCGTTGGTTGCCTCTCCCATGTGCTCCAATCATGGCTGGGAATCGAACCTGCAGCCAAGGTATGTGCCCTTGACCTTGACCAGGAATCGAACCTGCAACCCCTTCGGTCCATGGGCTGACGCTCTAACCACTATGTAAGACTGGGCAGGGCCTGCCTTCTTTCTTGAGTGGCTTTCCTGACCCATGCCTGCCTAAGCCTTATTTATCCTACAATAAACCTCTCCCTAGCTCTACCCATCCCTCCAAAGCCAGTAAGGTGTCCCCACCCAGGGCACCCACAATTCCCTGCACCTTGCAAATTTTACATTTTTACCTGTCACTTCCCCAACCAGCTGGCCATTAAGTTAGGATCTCTGTTTTTGTTCCTTCAGTGCTTAGTCTATACTGAGTGCCCACAGTTCCCAAGTGCAAAAATGGTACCGTAGCTGCCATATGGGGCATGTTACAATGTGGCAGACACTACAAAGCAATCCACATACATTCCCTCATTGGTCCTTACAACTTCCCCAAGATCACTGTTGTCACCCACATTCGTTCAGTGGGATTTAGAGAGAGGTGAAGGGGCTTGTCCCGGTCCACACAGGCAGAAAAGGGTGGAGTCTTGTTTGCTGTATGTCCGAAGTCAAGTCTGTGCAACCAGGCATGTGCAGACTGCCAGTGCCCACTACATCTGTTCTCTCCTTTCTCTGGGTAACAGAACCTCAATTTTATTTGGGGTGGCAATGGGCCCAGTTAATGGGCCACATTTCAGCTAGTGTGCTCTGTGACCCAGTCCTATGAGATTTCCAGAAGTCTTCAAAGGAAATGCAGATCAAGGAGGCCAAGCAGCCATGTTGGGCCATGAAAGTGGCTCCGAGGAAGACGGAGCCTGGGTTTCTGATCACACCGCGGGCCACACTGGTCATGGTCTGGCTACCTCCCACTTCCTGTGATGGGAACAGAAACTATCCTGTTAAGACACAACAGTAGAGCTCTGTTACTATACAGCCAAACCCGACACAGAGTGAGGCTGAATCCCACCCCTCTTGATCCCCTGGGGGCCGGTGCAGAGAAAGAGAAGGCAGCACGGGTGATGTAAAGTGTTTCTTTATTTGAACATCATTCCACCTGTACTGAAGCTCAAATCCAGCAGCAGCAGAAGGGGTCTGGACCGAAATAAGTGTTACCAAGTGGGACAATGAACAGTGAGGACACAGTCAGACAAAACTTACTAATGGGGTGTAGACAACACCAAGCTAACATCACACAACACAGGCCCTCTGAGGTCTGCTGGTCAGAGCTCCGGGAAGGACTGTGGCTCCCTTGCTCCTTTCTCAGGAAACTGCAATCCCACCCAAAGGCTAGCCCTGAGCCTGGCAGGGGCCTGTGGAAGTTTCTTGTTCTGGGAACATCCCAGCTTCTCCCAAGAGAGGGTCTCCCTTTCTCAGTCCACACTGGAAGCTGGAGAAGGGGCACTCCCCTGGGTCTAGGCAGGAATCTCAAACGGAGTCCAAGGAGTTTCCCCACAGCCTTGTCTATAAGTTCCCAATGTCTTGGCTGCTCCAGGTGTGACAAGGATCTCGATTCTACCCATGCTCCTCATGCCCTCGGGAAACCAATGTTTTCCTCCATGGGTACTGGTCCCCAAAGAGGAGTTTTCACATCTCAGGGACCCAGAAGGATTTGATCAACCAGCGCTCTGAACCATGTCGAGGTCGTGGCCACGTTGGCCTGTCCTGAAAGAGTCCCCAGCTCAGGGTAGAGAGAGCTGGGGAGTGCCAGACCCTCTGACCCAGTCACCTCAGAGACCTGCTCAAAGCTCAGCTTTCAGGGACCAAGCGTGTGAGAGACAGCTCTGCTTCCACCTCCTCCCAAAGGCTAAACCCCAGGGAGGCCATTCCACAAGCGTCCCCTGGCCACGATGGCTTCCTTCCTCTGGGCCACTCTTGGGCTTCCCTGGGGCCCTGGCTAAAGCACCTGTTACCCGTTCTGCTCCCACCTCTGCTGAAGCTTCGGGGACAGAGCTGTGGTTTGGTCCCCACTCTGACCTCATTCCCTTCCCCGTGTTACTTTGGTGTTCCTTCAACCCACCCAACACTGCTTTCCTAACCCCAAATTCCTCGGCCAGGGCAGCAGCTGGCTGAGCGGATGGTGACATGGAAACACTGTCAGACGGTCCCAAAGGGAACAAACCTCCCTCTTCTCTACCACTCACCCGCTCCAGTGGCGCTAACCTGCTCAGAAATCAGCTGGACTGTCCCCCTGATGTGAGGGCTGGCCGCCTGGGCCCGCCCTTGGTCTCTGAGCGGGTAGGTTCTAACCTCTCCACAAGGCACACGGGTTGGTGGTCCCCGGGCACAGTGCACACACAGAAGCAGCTGCTCCCTCTTCCTCAGCATCCTGTGGCCCTCATCCTCCTCCTCCCCTTTCCCTTCCATTGCTCCCTGCATCCCAGTCTGGTCTCCCACCACTGTCTTGCCAACGCCTCCTTCCCTATCTCTAATCCTCTTTCCAGTCCCCTACCCTCCCTCTCCCAGGTTCTCTGTCCCTCTGGGTCCCCCTTCTGTTCACTCTTCCTCTCTCTCCATCTCTGGACCTCTCTGCACCCCTCTGCCCCTTGCTCTGTCTCTGCCTCTCCTTCTCCCTCCTGTCTTATTCTTTCTCCTACTCCTGTCTTCTCCCCATTCCTAACCACTTGCTCGGGGCCCTCTCTCTGCAGCCTTCCAACACTGGGCTTTGGTTTGGATCTGCCCCCCACTCCCTCCCTCCCACAAGGCTTCCCTCCCCCTTCCCTTCCACCTGGGACCCTGGTGCCCAGCCCCACCTGCAGGCAGCCTGCTGAGGACGTTGCCAGTGGGGGCTGCAGTGCAGGGCTTGGTAGGAGCAGGAGAGAGGGGGCACAGTGCTGGGCAGAGCACTCGGGGAAGGTGTTTGCCCAGGGGGAGGGTCAGGACTTGGGGAGCTCCAGGTTTCAGGAATCCTACCAAGACCCAGCATCCGATCCCGGTTGGGTCCAGATGGGGATTCAGACAGAGGATTCCTAGAGCCTGTCTTGGAAACCCTCCCTCTCAGGTCCAACTCCAGTGGAAATGAACACAGGTTGGCAAATACATGGCACTAACTGCTTTTCTCCCCTCCTTTGGCTGAGCCAACATAACAGAATGGTGGGTCGCAGGCTCCTCTCCAGTGGGCCCTGCAGCCAGAAGCAGGCACACTGGAAGGAGCTCACATGCCGCATGGACTCGGGCCTGAAAGGGGCTGCCTCGCCCCCAGCCAGGTGACTCTTCCGCCAGGTCCGTGCGGCAGTGAGGGAAGTCCAGAAACACCTGAAATCTCCCTCAGTTGCTTCTCGCCACGCAGGAGGGAGATGCCCCCCCATGGTGGGAGGAAAGGGGGAGAGAGGACTCCTCGTCTGCCCCCCCACATACTTACACACACACACACACACACACACACACACACACACACACACACGCCTCGGCTCCAAGCACTGCCCATTGGGTGGCAGACCCTGGGCATATCGCAAGGCGAGAGGTGGGCAAAGAGGAGACGAGGTGGGGACAGGGTTACAAGGCCCAGGGATGGGGACAGGGGGTACCCTGTTCAGAGGTGACCTGCAAGTTCAAGTTATGCAGAAAAGTATCAAAGAGGCAAGACAGTGTCTGCCCTTAGCAAATGCCAGGGTCAGGCAGCACAAGGGGCAGAGGGGCGGTACCTCCCCTGATGCCCCACAGTTAGGCCCCTCCCCAACCTCCAGCCCTAACAACAGGGCCAAAGGGTCTGTGCTGTACAAAACAAGCTGGGGTCGGGGTCCAGTCAGCAGCACGATGTCCCAGCAGAGAGGCCAGGCCAGCCCCAGGCAGAGCCACCCCTGGCCCTTGCTGCCTGGAGTCCCAGTGTCTCCAGTTCCCTCTGGGGCTGTGTGTCCTTTCTCAGACTCGGGGCTGGACAGAGCGCCAGTAGACAGGAAGGCCCTTGTGTTCTCCCTCGGTGCAGCTCGGACTCCTTCAGGAGAGCTGGGAGCAGGCTGGTGGCGCCTGGAGCTCTGCAAAGATGTGATGGAACCATCATCGGCCAAAAAAAGGGAAAGACCTCGGTTGCCCGGGGGCAGTGTCTTGAATAAGTTTCTGCAGGAGGCAGGGACCAGAGGAGGCAAAGATGCGATCAGGCAGTAGCTCCCAGACCGAGGGAGCTTGGGGCACTGGAATCCTAGTGCCTCCTTCCCCGGGAGACTGCCGGGCACCCAGCCAGGTGGGAGAGGAGAGGAGACCTCAAGGGATGTCCGGCTCCCTTAGGTCAGTTGAGGGAGGGGCAGAATCAGGCCCCCCCAGGCTGCACCCAGCCTCCACTTCTCTTCAAAGTCTGGAGCTGGCAGGCGGGTAACAGATGAGAAGTCAGTCTGAGATTGGGGTCTTCCCTCAGAGCTTGAATGGAGGATGAGAGGGCAAGAGATGGGACACACTGAGGACAGGTCAATTCCTGGGCTGTGATCCTGGCCTTCAGGGTCCCTGTGAGTGAGCAACGGGGCAGGGGAGGACTCCCCAGCTGGAGACATCACCCCCTGGTCGCAACACGGAGCTTACTGTAGAGCTCACAAAATCTAAGAGAGAGAGAGAGAGTTGGAGAAAGTCAGAGACCACCAGGGCATTGGGGATCCCCTTGGCCCACCCTCAGGGCAAAACTGGGCAGAGTGGTGAGGTGGAGGCCCAGGCTCTGAAATCCCACCGGGGCCTCGGACTAGCTGGATGGCCCTGAGCAGGCCAGTGGACCTCAATGAGTCCCAACTTCCTCATCTGCAAGATGGCAGAACAGCCTCCTTCACAAGGTGCTTCTGAGGGTCAGAAAGACATAAAGAGCCCCAGCCAAGGACTGCGCAGTGTTTGGCACATACTAAATGCTAGAAATTATAGCAATTTATTTTATTTTTTACTTTTGTCCCAGAGGTCTTTGGCTTAGAACTGAACTGTGAGGCTCAGTCATCTTGAGCTCTTCATGAGGATGGAGATCTCTGGACGCTGATGTCACTTTTAACACTGAGCTATTAGGGTGCCTGGGGAGGGAGGAGAGGACGCTGAGTGGGCCCACCTCACACCAGAAAGGGCAGATGGCTGTCTTAGTCACGCACTTCTAGAAGCTGCCACCAGAGGGCAGGCCCTGACTTCATACCAAGGCCACAGAAACCACAGGCTATCAGGGTATCCAGGGGCAGGAGGCTCAGAGCTTAGGTTAGCAACCAGCAGCCCAGGGAAGGCTGAAAAGGGGGCAGGCAGTGGGGCAGAGCTTGGTCTTTGGACTTGGATCTGGGTTCAAATTCTGACTCCACCACTTAGGTGGCTTTGAGCAAGTAACTGGACCTCTCATTTGTAAAATGGTGGTCATGATGCCCGCCTGACGGGGAGTGGGGCGGAGTGGCAGCTTTTACAGAGCGTTCACCACGTGCCCCGTTGCAAGCACAATCTTTCTTCCTCACAGGACAACCCGTATTACCATAAGTATATGTATGTTTAAACTATACGGTGGTACTTTCCACCACACTCGTTTTGTGAATGCAGGAAACTGAGGCTCACGGAGCTGAAGTCACTTCTTAGCTCAGCCTGCTTTTAACATAGACGATCTGCTTCCACAGTCTGGGTTCCACCACAATGCCAAACTACCTCCCGCCAAATGAGATCGTCTCCACCACCATTAGCCCTATTTTATAGATGAAATATTCCCAGAGATGAATATAATTAATGGAAAGTGCTAAACTTAGGTCCAGCTCAGGCTAATAGCTCACGGAAGGGTGTGACTATGAAAATGACTACTATTTCTCACAGCAGAGAACGCACACCCAGACAGATGGGGGTCTGTCCGTCAAAGCCCTGCAGTGTCTCCCCTTGCTCTGGAGGCAGGGCGGGCCCTTGGGTCAGAAGACCGGCCCTCCAGTGGAGAACAATCTGGCACTGTCATTTCAATGGTAAGTGTGCAATTTAACTTCTGGAAAGACACCAAGAAGACACTTGTGTATAAGAAGACACAGACAAAAATGTTCATTGTAGCATTGCCAGGAATAGTAAAAACCTGGAAGTCTCCCTAAGAGCCCCTAAAAGGAGAATGGTAAGTACAGTTCCTTTATTTCATATGATGCTAAGCACTGGATAAAAAGGGCAAGGTGATTCCCCATGAAATGAGAAACAGATCTTTACAACATGCTCCAGAGTGCAGCACAAAAATCGAGCTGAGGCGGGGGTTTGTTTAGGATGATGCCTGTGCTATGTCATATTAGCACTTCACACTACTCTCTGTTTTGTAAAGGGACAGATCAGGTTTGAAGACACACAGATAAGCACTGACAACAGTGACAACCCCTAAGGTTCTGGCCTTAGGTATAAGTTGTTTCTTTGTTGTATTTTAGTGTTCCCTGATATACATATCCTATATAATAAAACCCTGATCTGCAAATCGACCAAACGGTGGCATGACTGGCGAAATGACCGGTCGCTATGATGCTTACTGACCACCAGGAGGCAGATGCTCAACGAAGGAGCTGCCCCCTGGTGGTCAGTGCGCTCCCACAGGGGGAGCACTGCTCAGCCAGAAGCTGGGCTCACAGCTGGTGAGTGCAGTGGCAGTGGCAGTGGCAGGAGCCTCTCCCGCCTCTCTGGCAGTGGTAAGGAACAGTGAGCTCAGTGGTAAGGAACAGCAAGCAGGTGAGCGGTAAGGGGTGAAGGGTCCTGGACTGCAAGAGGGATTCTGGACTGCGAGAGGGATATCTGACTGCCGGCAGGCGGACATCTCCTGAGGGGCCCAGACTATGAGAGGGTGCAGGCCAGGCTAGGGATACCCCCCTGCATGAATTTCATGCACCAGGCCTCTAATTGAATATACTAGGTATAAAGCACTGTTCAAGAACTATAACTCTACCAATAATGTGTATACACCTCCCTGTCCGCATCTGCTTCTGGCTTCCCTCATCCGTTCTACCATTTATATTTCTCGTTTCCTTGTTTTTTTAAAAACACACACACCCATATCACCATAAATATATGTGTGTTTATGCCGAAACCGGTTTGGCTCAGTGGATAGTGCGTCGGCCTGCAGACTGAAAGGTCCCAGGTGCGATTCCGGTCAAGGGCATGTACCTGGGTTGCGGGCACATCCCCAGTGGGAGATGTGCAGGCGCCAGCTGATTGATGTTTATCTCTCATTGATGTTTCTGACTATCTCTCTCCCTTCCTCTCTGTGAAAAATCAATAAAATATATTAAAAAATGATCGATGTTTCTCTCTCATCGATGTTTCTAACTCTCTATCTCTCTCCCTTTCTCTCTGTAAAAAATCAATAAAATATATTTAAAAAAATATATATGTGTGTGTGTGTGTGTGTTTAAACTATACATTGCTTAGTGGTGCTTGGTGTTTAAGCTCACTATAAATTTCACTGTGTCGTCTTCTGGAACTTTATTCTCCACCGCCCCGCCCCCACCCCCCTATGTTTCCAGTGGGTACCCATTCTGTTACTATAAACTGAGGTTCATTCATTCTCAGTTATGAACTATTCCGTGGTGTGAATATATCACCATTTGTTTATCCAGCCTCCTGTCCATAGCCATGTAGGTTGCTTTTAGTTGTCTGCTATTTTGAAGCTGCTGCCAAGAGCATTCTTGCCCGTTTCTCATGGGTTTATCCCCACTGGCGGGTTTTGCTGGGTCCCAGGTGCACAGCTGTTCAGATCTGAGACATAAAGCCACACTGTTTTCAAGGTGATCCTACTGCCTGTCCCATGCCCAGTTTCGCATCGCTGTTAACCTTGACGCCGCCCCGCCCGCCCCTGCCCGCCGACGCGCGCACTCGCCTTTGTTGTCGGGCTTGAGCTCCTCCAGAAGCAAGTCTGTTTGCCGGTTGCCCAGCACGAAGGCGAGGAAGGAGAGGATGAGGGCGTTGAGGATGCCGATGATGGCCAGGATGTACGCCCAGCGCACCGAACAGTCCCCCAGGGAGTACTTGCCGGTCTTGGCCCCGCACATGTCCCGGATCGTCTCGGCGTCCCAGCCGTCGGGGAAGATCATGCAGCCCAGCACGAGGCACAGAGCTGAGGGGCGCGAGGCCCAGCCCCGCGGTCGGGAAGGAAGGCAGAAGGGGATGGTTACTCCTCAGAGCCCGAGCACCCCCGGGAGCCCTCCTCACTCCGCTCATCAACCCAAGAGCCTGCTAACCGGTTCCCGCGGGTTCCAGAAACTGCTGGGCCTGGAATGACGACTGCCCAGGAAAGCAGAAGCTTTCCGGAACCCGTAATGTCCTCTCCTGCCCCCATCACATCAACTCCTTCCTGGAAATATGAGAAAAGAACCAACCACGGTCGCCTCCCTTAGCACCCTGGCCATGCTTACCCTCTCCCGTCCTCGTCACCACTGATTTATCTCGGTTGTTCATTCACATGTTTACTGAGTGATACTTTCCTTTCCGTCACGATATGGAAGTATGTCCTCATTCACACAGTTGAGCACTGTGCTCAGAGAACAGACTGGGGTGAGAACGATGGGGTTTGAGCCTAGTTCTTTCGCTTACTCAGTCCATGACTTCGGGGGTGCCTCCTGTTTGTCTGTGTGATGGGAATCAGAGTGAATACTTACCTCCCAAGGTGGTTGTGAGGATTAAGTGAAGTCATGCTTGAAAGACACTTAGCACAGTGCCAGGCGTTGACTCACTCAGGTAGTATCTATTGAAGGCCTACCTCCTCTGTGCCAGGCACTGGACTAGGCAAGGGGCAGGGTACTTGGACTCTAGCCTCATGAGGCTTGCACTTTAGGTGGGGGATGAGGGGAGAGAGATCCATTAGAGCAGGGGTCCTCAAACTATGGCCCGCGGCCCACATGCAAATACAAATATTGTATTTGTTCCCGTTTTGTTTTTTTACTTCAAAATAAGATATGTGCCGTGTGCATAAGAATTTGTTCATAGTTTTTTTTTAAACTATAGTCCGGCCCTCCAACGGTCTGAGGGACAGTGAACTGGCCCCCTGTTTAAAAAGTTTGAGGACCCCTGCTCTATAGCAAGAGGCTCTTTAGAGGCGGAGCGGCTGGTGAGAAAGCAGTGGGTCGCTGGCTCTGCCCCTCACGCCCTGACCCACCTGGGCCCCACAGGTCATCCGTCAGCTGATGCGGAAGGAGTTCACCCTGGAATTCTCCCGAGACCGGAAGTCTATGTGAGGGGCCCAGAGAGGGTGCAGGCCAGGCTAGGGATACCCCCCTGCATGAATTTCATGCACCAGGCCTCTAATTGAATATACTAGGTATAAAGCACTGTTCAAGAACTATAACTCTACCAATAATGTGTATACACCTCCCTGTCCGCATCTGCTTCTGGCTTCCCTCATCCGTTCTACCATTTATATTTCTCGTTTCCTTGTTTTTTTAAAAACACACACACCCATATCACCATAAATATATGTGTGTTTATGCCGAAACCGGTTTGGCTCAGTGGATAGTGCGTCGGCCTGCAGACTGAACGGTCCCAGGTTCGATTCCGGTCAAGGGCATGTACCTGGGTTGTGGGCACATCCCCAGTAGGAGATGTGCAGGAGGCAGCTGATCGATGTTTCTCTCTCATCGATGTTTCTAACTCTCTATCTCT